CAGGTTATTCAGTGGCAGTGCTACACAAGGCCCACGGCTTCTCCTACGTGGCAGGGGCTCCCCGGCACAAGCTCCGTGGGGCTGTGTTTGAGCTCCAGAAGGACAGAGAATCCACCTTTGTGCGACGGATGGAGGGAGAGCAGGTACCTCCTGGAGAAGTCACCTTTCCATCAGTAGGAGCCCTGGGGCCCTGGGGAGATGGGTGGATGGGCCCACCCTGGGCAAGGTCCAGGCTTGAGTGTAATTCAGTGGCCCTCATATCTGCTCAACGGTCTCCCTCTGTGGAGACTCGGCTGCTCACCCCTAATCTCCTGTGATACCAGAGACCAGATGGATCTGAAAGCCCTACTTGGTGCTCCAGGGAGACCATAAGCAGTGGGTCTAGCTCTGGTGAGGGTGGAAAGGGGGTGTCCCCATCCTCAGGAGTGCTGAATTCCTTCTGGGCTGTAGATGGGGTCCTACTTTGGCTCTGAGCTGTGCCCTGTGGATATTGACATGGATGGAACCACGGATTTTCTGCTGGTGGCTGCTCCATTTTATCACATCCGTGGAGAAGAAGGCAAGGTCTATGTGTACCATGTGCACGAGCAGGTGAGTGTTGGGCCCCATGAGCTTGCCAAGGCTGTACCTGCTCAGGTAGCAGAGGTTGGATGAGCCCTGGCCTGACATCTGTTTGGCAACAGCAGACAGTGACAGTGGGTGTTTAGGGGGCATAGCTGTCCCCTTTTAGACAGCCAGGGGGCATGGCTGTCTCCCTGCTTCTTACCTGGGTGGTTCTTGGTAGCATCTGTCGTAGTTGTCCAGTAGACAGAACTCTTGCCCTGGTCTCCCTTGCTCCTCACAGTAACTATGGGAGTGGCTTGCACTCTCACATTACCGATGCAGAGTCTGGGGTTCAGTGAACTAGCTAGTGATGCTGGGTGTGGGAGAGCTGCCACTGGACCCTAGGCCTCCCTATTGCTAATATAGCAATGGGTGAGAAGAGAGAAGGCAGGTCCTGAACTTGGGGCAGGCTCCAGGTCCTGAACTCCAAGACAGGAAGACCCCGCTTTACTACAGGCTCAGGTCCCTTGTCTTTTCTCAGCCTTAGACTCCTGCTGGAGAGTGGGAAACAGGGAGGGAGAATGGCCTCCGGGTGGCCTGGGATGCTTGCCCTGCACACCTTTCTTGGGGACCGAGCTCTTGGTTCACTTTGCAGGATGCTTCCTTCTCCTTGGCATACACACTGAGTGGGCACCCTGGGCTCCCCAACAGCCGCTTCGGCTTTGCCATGGCAGCCGTGGGGGACATCAATCAAGACAAATTCACAGATGTGGCCATTGGGGCCCCCCTGGAGGGCTTTGTGGCAGGTGACGGGACCAGCTATGGCAGTGTGTACATCTACAACGGACACTCAGATGGCCTCCGTGCCAGCCCTTCCCAGGTGACTCCACAGGCTCTTTCCTGCTTCTTCCCTGGGGTTCAAGCCTCCCACAGACAGAACGAGCCGGCCTCTGAGTCAGCCTCCATCCTAAGCGCTGGGCTAGCCTCTGGTGGTAGAGAATGCCAGTGAAGGCACCAGGGGTAGGTGGAGGGTTCCAGACCAGGCCTCCTCCAAACCCTCCAGGAAAGGAGAAGGTGAGGCCTGGTTTACTTTCCTGGCCTGTGTCTCCTCCTCCTTTGCCACTGCTGACCACCAACCTACTTCAGGTTCCCTCCTCTCTACATCTCCTTTTGTTTCTGGTTCTTGTCTTATCCAGCGCCCCCTTGTTCTGGCTCCTCCCCTCCCCCCTCCTCCAGCTGCCTCCTAAGCACCTCCCCCAAGCTGGTCCCCAGGCCTCTTATTCTGGCACATCTCAGTCCACAAGCCCCTTCTTCCAGAAAACTGATGATGCTCCTGTGTACCCATCCCCTGCTCCTCCACACCAGATGCCCAGGATAGCCTCACGGCACCTTGATACACACTGGGATGCATAGCCTGTCAGCCACCACATCCGAGTAATTCTAGCTCTGCACCCCCCTCCCTCAAACACACCAGGGCATCAGCTTAGGCCTTCCATCCCCCCTCCTTCCCCCCCCCCCCAGGGCCCCAGCTCCCACCTTCAGCCCCTCTTCTCCCTGTGCCTCCAGGGATGCTTCTGAACTGTGTTCCTGGTGAAGTGACTCTTCCGGAGAGCCTTTCCTGATGCCCCCAGCCCAGCCCACATCAAGTCTCCGCGCACTCACATCCCTTTACCCCCTCCTGCCCCACCTGACCCCTGCACTGAGCCTCCACTGCGTTCTCAGAGCAGAGCTCTGCTCTTCCCCGCCGCTTGCTGCCCTTCGGGGCTCCACCCAGATATCACTTTCCCAGAGACGGGGTGGGAGGCGCGTCATGCTGCAATAGAAGGCGAAGCTTCTCTTTCTCCTTCCCCAGCGGATCAGAGCCTCCTCTGTGGCCTCGGGACTCCGCTACTTCGGCATGTCTGTGGCTGGTGGTTTGGATTTCGATGGCGATGGCCTGGCTGACATCACGGTGGGCTCTCGGGACCGGGCAGCTGTGCTTCGGTAGGGGTCTGCCCTGACTTCGGTGACTCGAGCCCCAGCCTTTATTCCTTGTTCTGCACTGAGTGGGTCCTGCAGATTCCAAGCGCTAAGGGAGGGAGGAACTATGGGAAGGGGCACCGTTTCTGAGGTCTGCCTGGGTAAGTTGGCTCTGCCCCTCTCAACAGTATGGCTGGGTGGGCTGCTGAATTCTAAGTCTCAACTTTCTTATCTACAATTGGGAATAATGACAGTGCCTGCCTTACAGGAATGGGAGGGAAATAACGTGAGAAAATACAAGGGGTAGATAGCACAGTGCTGGGGGTGGGGAGCTGTGGATTTCAGGGCCCCTGGATTCTACCTGCAGGCAATTTTCAGTCCCGGGGCTAGAGCCCCTGTCTACCCAACCCTCTCCAGAGAGTCCCACACCTGTTGTCTGCTCACCAACATCTCCAAGTGAACAGGCCTCCAAACGGAGCACCTGCTCTTCCCACCTTCCATCCCCAGTCTGCCCCTCCCCCTCAGCTCCTGTCTCATCAAATGGCACTGTATCACCCACCTAGAGAGTGAGGATTGGTCTGGAGAGATGGCTCAGTGGTTAAGAACATGTATTGTTCCTGCGGTGGACCCGAGTTCAATTCCCAGCACCCACATCAGGCAGCTTACAACTGCTTTTAACTCCATATTCAGGGGATGGCCCTAATCTTAGATACATGACATATACAGACAAATACACATGTACACATAAATAAATTGTAATAAAATAGTTTTTTTAAATAGGAGTGAGGATTACATTCTAGGACGGGGCCTGTTGGCATGGGCCTGTAATCTCAGCTACTCGGAGGCTGAGGCAGGGAGGTCCCCAGCTCAAGGCCCTCTGGGCTGCAGAGGACAAAAGCCCTGGGTAAGCTTCCTCTTCATCCTTCCTCCATCCATTTTACTGACTTCAACTCCAAAACACCTCCCAGCACAGGGGCTGTCATCTCTCCCCAGAACCAACACGTAGACTTCCCTGTGCTCTCTTGAGGCGATCCCTCTCTGCTACGGCTCTACCCTGCTGCTTAAAAACCCCTCAGCGACTCCCACCTGAGTAAAACCAGTTCCTTGTCATCGCCTCCAGGGCTGTCTGTGATTGGCCCTACCCACCCTCCAGGGCTGTCTGTGATTGGCCCCGCCCACCCTCCAGGGCTGTCTGTGATTGGCCCCGCCCACCCCCGGGACTGTCTGTTGTTGGTCCCGCCCACCCTCCGGGGCTGTCTGTGATTGGCCCCGCCCACCCTCCAGGGCTGTCTGTGATTGGCCCCGCCCACCCTCCAGGGCTGT